ATGGAAAGAAAATAAAAAAAAAAAAAAAAAAAATCGATAAAAACAAAAATTTAGAAGAGTAATGCCACCTTTTATTTATAAGTTGACAATATTATATAATGAAATGTATATATTTAAAATTAAAGTATGTATAAATTTAAAGAAAATAACAATTCTTCAATTTAATCATTGCCCTCTAAATATATATATATTAATGATTAATTCATATATATATATAAATTTTCTTTTATTATTTTTAATTTATTTTTAAATAAATATTTTTTTGTGTACAATATACGGAATTTTATATATTTCAAAAAACAAAATGGTTCCTATAAGTGTTAAATAAATAAATAGTTTAAATACAAGTTGTCATCACATTTATTTATATTTTTTCTCTCTAATTGTAGATTCTTCATATAAATAATTATGAAAATACATATATGTATAAATATATATTTAATACTATTATTTAAATCATTCGTAAACACATATGAAAGTGTATATAAATATACAAAGGAACTCATATATTAGGATAAATCAGGTTTTTTTTTTTTTTTTTTTTTCTTTTAAATTTATATAAGCTAGTTCATTCTTTTTCTCTGATTTTCCCAATCATAATAATCCTCAATACTACCAATGTAAGGCATATTTGATAAAATATCATTCGGTTTATAAGCTAATACTAGCATACCGCATAATTGCACGAAGACATTTTTTAAGTAATCTGCTGAAACTCCAAAGCGACATGTATCTTTTAAGATATTTGCATAGCATTCAACGTATCTTAACATTTCAAAGTATTCTGATTGTTCTTCAAATAAAATTCGGTTATAGTAATTGGATGCATTTCCTTCAAATTGTATAGGTCCTGGATTACAAAAACGATCTTCCATTTGCCATTTTTGTAAAGCAATTTTTAAACTTCTGTATGCTTTTCCGTTTAAATCAACTGGAGCACTTGGTATAACAGGTAAATCACCTTTAGATGCACTTTTTAAATATTTGTTTTCTTGTCCTCTAGGTAATATTTTCATTAAAGAAATAAAAGGAATAGCAAATAACTTCCAATCCTTTACATTTCCACATAAACCTCTTATAGAAACTATATATCCTGTTAATCCACTTTCTATAACTATAGAAGCTGCGTGACCATATGAATAAGCTAACTTACAATCAAACTCGGATGGTAAAGAAGAACGACCTTGATATCCAAAAAAATGAGTTAGTCCCATAAAACTACCTGAATATTTCCCTTTTTGTTTTCTCTGATGTAATTCTTCTTTAACCATCTGTAACAATAATTGTTCTGTTTCTAGTTGCTCAAAACGCATAGATCTTAAATCTACTTGTAACAATTCTTTAATTATAAACTGCGGAAACGTTTTTAATAATGCTAAACTCCAAGGTGTCAACTTTGGAACCCATACAGATGATTCCCCATTTTGTGTGTTTGATAAATTCACCAATTCATTTCTAGCTTCAGATAACTGTCCTTTTTCGGATGCTTCATTTAATATATCGCTAATTTCTGATAATAATATTTTCATATGTGGTAAATGCATAAGTAATGCATCAGGTATTAATATAGTACCGTAATTTTTTCCTACTTCTGCCCTTGCACAAACTACATCAGCGATATCCTGAACAACTCTCCATAATGTTTTATCAGCAGCTCCATATTCCTCTGATATTATAACCATATTTGGATGAGTTTGTAAGGCACATTCTAATACTTCATGAGATGGTGATCTTCCCATTAAACGAATAAAATGCCAATATTTAGGCATACTTACAGCATCGGTTAATACATTTCCTATTAATGAGGCATAAACCTTAGTACTGCTATCAAAACCAACACACGTTTCAATTAATTCATGAATTAAATTATTAGAACCTGTCAAAGGAATGCCAACAACAGAAGTTGGAATTTTCTTTTCTAAAAAATACTCAGATAATAATGCTGCTTCTGTTATAGTAATATTAGAACCAGGCATAACCAATCCATTTAATTGCAATTTAGTTACGGTCTCGCATACTTTATTTCTATTTTCTTTATCAAATAGAGAATGCTCTGGAGAATTACCAGTTAATTCTAAACCTCCTTGATTTAAGTGTTTCGCTATATTATCATCATCTATTATTACATATTTATTATTTAACAACCCATATAAACCATAGAAAGCTATGCATACCCCCTTTAATAACTTTAAGCGCCTATAAAGACCACATAACACATTCATTGCACCTGGAGCTTGTCTCGATAAAAATACAATTCCTATCTTAATCTCAAACGATATAGGGGTTGCATATTTATCATGGAATATTTCTTGAATTTGAAATTTATTTTCATAAGACATATGAGGATAATTAGATAGAATTTGTTTTTGTGTATATGGATCATTTGATATGTATTGTTTTCCTGCTCTTACTTTTGCTTTTAAATCAGAACATAACTCTGGTAATTCTAATTTATTATATAACCTTGAAGTTTGCAATTCTGACATACAACCTAATGATTTATAATTAGAACATTGTAATGCATAGAAATCTTTATTCACTTGATCAGGATTAAAATTAAGCTCACTATCTTCTTCTGCATTGTTTAATGGAACCCCTTTTTCATTAATTGACATATTCAACTCATTATTATATGATGTACCTATTCTCATATCATTAGAAATTCCTTCGTTGTTTAGATTATCTTCTTTTTTTAAATTAAATGAATTATTTGATTTTAAATCTCCATCTACTAAATCATTTTCTAATGAATTATTATTGTTTCCCTTGTTATTTTTATTAGCTAAATTTATAATTAACTGCAAATCATCGGAGTTTTGGCACAACAAAACATCTTTTGTTGGAATTTTTACTGTATAACAACGTGCATTACTAAGATGACCATTAAATTGAATAGGACCAGGTGATCTATATAAATCATAGAGAGACCATAACCTTCTTACTTCCTTTAACACATTAAATAATGGGCTATTTAGATCCACTAAATATCTTTTAACTGCAGGAAATTCTTTACCAGTGTTATCTTTGTTAACATGCATAATTCTTAAGAAAGGAATAGCTGCAGGTATCCAATTGCTATATATATCTTCTAAGTTTTGAATTATAGACATGTAACCTGTTCTTTTATGATCTACTAATAATGCTGCATTATATCCTAAAGCATAACAATAATTACAGTCAAAATTTGATGGAATAGCACATCTGCCCTCATAACCTAAATAGTGAGACATGAATTGAATATTCATATTTTTATCATTCATTTTGGCTAGTTCAGATTCTACAAGGACTATTATTAACCTTTCTGTGGCAATTTTTCCTACTTGAATATAACCAGTGGATTCTCTATCCATCAATAATTGTTCTCTAATGATACTAGGTAAAAAATCCCATACTTCTTTGGATTTTTTTAATTTAGATGGATCAAATGGTCCCTCTTTTAAAATCATATTTAATTCACCAATCAAAACTTTCATTTCAGGAACAAATTCTATTAATCCTTCTGGTATTAATATAACTCCATAATTTTTATTTAACGACCTTCTTTTTAAAATAATATTAACAATATTCTTAACAATATCTTTAAGAGATAAATTTTGTTGCTCTACTTCTTCTCCAATTAAAACAATATTGGGTCTTGTTTGTAAGGCGCATTCTAAAACTACGTGAGATGCTGATCTTCCCATTACCCTAACAACATGATATACATTATGACCTGTTTTTACATCTGTACACAAATTTCCTATAACTTCAGAATATGTTTTTGTAGCTGTATCAAATCCAAAACTAATTTCAATAGCTTCACTTTTTAAATCGCCATCAATAGTTTTTGGTACTCCTATAACAGAGATAGGAATTTTTTTTTCACAAAAGTATTCTGCTATTAAAGCTGCATTACTATTAGAACCATCACCTCCAATAATTACCAGACCATTTAACTTTAATTTAGAAACTATATTTTCAATTGCAATTAAATCATCTTTGTTTTTTACTTTTCCTCTTCCTGACCAAAGCATATTAAAACCACCTAAATTTCTAAAACGATTCATCATATTATCAGTAATTATAACGTAATTTTTACTATATAAGCCATCTATTCCTCCTAAAAATCCAATAACTTGAGATTGTTCATTATATCTTCTTGCATAATCGTAAATTCCAGCTATGACATTATGACCTCCTGGTGCTGGACCTCCTGATAATATTATTCCTATTTTTAATATATTACCTCCTTTAAACAATTCACCATTATTTGTTTCTTTTACATTTAACATTGGTAATTTATCTAAATTTTTTAAAAAATTCTTTACTTCTTCATAATCAGCTTTATTAATAAAATCATCTCCATAATTTTCTTCTAATATTTGATATTCGCATGATAATGCCTTTGGTAGTGTTGGAGTATATTTTATTCTTTCATATTGTAATGGACTCAAATCATCATTTAATGAAGCAGAATGTCCATGCTCCTTTAATTTTTTTATTTTCATATTTTCATTGTGTACTAAAAAGAAACTATTTTTTGTTTCTTTTTCTTCTAAAAATTTTTTTGATGTTAATTTTTCCATCAAACAGTTTATCATTTTACTGTCTTGTTTATTATCTTCTTTTTTTTCTTGATCCCTTTGTTCTTCATTTTCTTCTAAATTAAAATTACATTTATTGTCTCTTAATAATACAGACATAGTTTTTACTAACGAATCTACAGTTGGATTTTTATTTTTATCAATATTAAAATTATTCATAATGATTCACTTTATTTTCTATTTAAATTAAAAATGTTTTCTATAAATGAAAATATATATATATATATTTTTTTTTTTTTTTAATTTATATATATATATATATATGTTTTTATATTAATATGTATGTTTCTTTTAATATATATATATATATATATATATATATATATAGCTATTTTTAGTATGTAATTATAAAAAAAACATTTGTGTGTACGAAAATCAACGACTTTATGTGAAAAAAAAATTATTTTATTAGAGCTTCATGCATACAAATTACTATATTAAATATAATTTAAAAAAAAAATATATATTAATAAAAGGAAAGAAGTATATTTACGTATATTTACATAATTTTATTAAAACGTTAAATAAAACATAATCATTTATAAAAATAATTAAACTTAAAAAAAAAAAAAATATAAATTATATATATATATATATGCATAAACATATGTAATATACATACATTTATATGTTTAAATAACATTATATACATAAAAATTTATTTCTATATTTAAAAAAAAAAATTATTTAAACTACATGTATATTGTTTCATGAAAATGTATTAATATAAATATTTTTTCAAATAAAAATCCCTTTCAAATATATTTAAATAAATATAAAATTGAATTTTTGTGAAATTGAAAATATCATATCTTTCAAAAAATATATATAATTTTTTTGCATTTTATTTAATAATACATGTATTTAATATTACTGTAGTGATGAAATATACAAACCTAAATAAAAAAAAAAAAAAAAAAAAAAGAATAAAATATCAAATAAAGTAGAATTAATAATAATAACAAAATAAAAATAAGAAAAAAAAAAAAAAAAAAATGAATGTAAAAATATTGTAGGAATAAAAGTGTTTATGTTAAATTTACGTCCATAATAAAAGAAAAAAAATAGTAGTGATTTTTGCTTTGAAGATTACGAACCATTAAAAAAATGAACATAAACTTTTGGGAAAAGAATATAATATACATTAATTAAAATGATAAAATTAACATTTAAATACAATGAATATGTAGCATGTGTTTATAATCCTTTGTGTATGAATTATATATCTTAAAAAAAAAACGTATTTATTTTTAGAATTAATAACATCATTTTATATTAATAAAAATATTTCATTTAATTTATTATATTTTTATATATTTTTTTATTGAATTTTTCCATACAATGAAAGTTTAAAACTTGATTTTAGTCTCATTTAAAAAAATTAGAAAATTTTTGATTTCATAATATTAAAGAAAGATATTAATTTATAGATAATAAAATGAAAAACAAATATTTTTATTAATGCAAAATTTTTCAATATAATAACAAGTAGAAACCTTAATTCCTTATTTTTGCTCAGGTCTACATAAAAACTTTCTTATTTTTTCATTTTTATATATACATATTTATGTAAGGAAATTTCCTTTTTTGCAATACAACGTCAAAAATATAAGTATATACAAGTTATATAGAAAAGAAACAATTTAAAATTTCTTCAATCTTTAAGTATTAATATTTTAGGATAATTTAATTTTCTTAAAAATGAGATTCTTTTAAAATATATTCCTTTTTTAAAAGTTATTATGCATTATTTAAATTTTTTTTGTTTACATATAAAGGATGGACATTATAACATATTATTACATTATAATTTTAATAACAATACTTGGTTACTTATTTAAAACATAAATATCTTTTTTCTTTAGTGTTATAATTATTTATTACAATCAAAAGTTTTTATAATTTTTTATATACTAAAAAGATGAAAAAAAAAAAATTTATCCTCTTTATAATATTGCATAATAAAATATTATATTTTTAAATAAATTTTAAAACATAAGAAAATATTAATACATAAATTAATTATATTATTTATATTAATTTTTACTATTTTCCTTTTTATTTTGTTTAAACTTACTAGGAAAAGAGAAAAAGAAAATGAATAATTTTATTATTTTTTTATAAATATTATATGCTACAAGAATGATTTAAATGATTAGATTTTAAATGAAAAATAATAAGGAAATAAGATTAATTTACAGAAAATTAGATGACAATTTTTTTGTTATCAACAAACCTGTTAATTGGACCTTAAAAAAGAAAAAAGTAATTAAGGATCTAAATTTTTCAAAATGTTTTAAAGAATATGAAGAGAAAGAAAATAAAAATGAAAATACTAGATATATAAATGTTTTAAAAAACCTTAGCGTTTCTGAAAAAAATACATTTTTATTCACTAATTCATCATCATATTTTTATAATAATTTTAATTACAATTTAGCTGAACGTAATTTAAAAGATAAAGATAAGGAAGATGGTAAGAGAAGCTCAAATAACAAATTTATAGAAAAATATTATTTAGAATCTATATTAAGATGTGAAACAAAAACAGATATATATTTTCCATATAAATTACCCATATATATGAGTGGCCTGGTGATATGTTGCCGAGATTACTTTATTTATAAGAAATTTTTGCAAATGATTGATGAAAATAAATTGATAAGGAAGTATAGATGTCTAATAAATGATCCTTTTGTTTTTATTAGTAATAAACAAAATTCCTACAAAAAAGAAGAAAGTGTTATAGAAAATATAAAGTTCCTAGAAAAACAATACAATCAAGATAAAAGTGTTAATAAAACTAATGATGAACATATTTACAAAAAGATTTATTTATCAAATATTAGTTCATTAATAGCACAAAAAGAAGTAAGTGAAATGTTTCCATTTTATAATTTTTTTGATAATAATCCTTATACTTTAAATTACTGGTATTATATAACTAACTTAGAAATTGAGAAATTGACTGAAAAAATGAGTTTTCTTTTAAAAAATGATAAAAAAAAAAGTACACCATCAAAAAGGAAAAGAATGAAATATAACTGTGATTCAGAGAAGGAAAATAATGATTACTTTATAGATGCATATTTAAAGAAAAGTCAACCTATAAAAAGTCTTAATAATTTTTTCACTTATATTTTTAATAGTGATTCAAATAATTTTACATGTTTAAAAAGAGAGCATAGTGTTATTAAAGAGTCTAAAGAACAAGACAATCCTAATATTGAGAACCCTTATTACAACAGTACACATAAAAAAAGTGAAAATGAGTTAAAACTTTCCTATAATATGTGTAATCTAAATTTGAATGACTTATACAATTCAAAAAAAAAAATATTATTTCCATTATCCCTTTTTTTTAATGAGAGCAATTTTTTTTTTTTAGATAAAGAAATTGATAAGTATTCATTAAAATTTTCAATGATCTATAAAATAAAAAATTATAAAGAATATTTAGAAAAAAATATTTTTTTAAATAATGAAAAAAGTGTAAATTATAATCTAGAAAATTTGAGTAATATTTTTTTGATTGAATTTATCCTGTTAGATAACCCTAAACCTGATCTTATAAGGTTTTTTTTTAGTGAAGCAAATACACCTATAATAAATGATAACATATTTGATAAAAATAATTTTAAAAAGGACGTTATTAATGAGTTGATATTAAGAAAGGAAAATAATAATTTGAATGTAAATACAAACATTTTTGGAGATACATACAGTGATAATTTGCATGAATTTTTTAATGAAAAAATAGAAAATTATAATAAACAATATAATGATAATTTATTAGACAAATATAAATCAAATACAAATGCTTTTACTATACCTGATGATAATTCTTTAAATAATGCAAATAAAGAAATAAAACTTAATTTAAATAATTATTTTATAAATGAAACTAAAAATCCAATTGATAATGATTATGAAGAACATAATACAAAAAAAAAGTTTCCTAAAGATAGTAATTTATGTTTAGAATTATATCAATTACAGTTTCGTGATCCTCTTAGTAATGATTTTATAAAAATAGAAAATTCTTTGTCTACTTCATGGATGTAATTTTTTTTTATTAAACATTTTTTATAAATAATTATTTTTATATTTTTATCATGTTATTAACATTATTTTATGATTAAATCTATTTCTATATATTTATATTATTATTATTTAAAATTTTAATACATATTTATTTGTTTTTATTATTAATTCGATATATTACTATTTTTAAATGCTTAATTTGGCATAATTCCTTTTCTTTTCTTTTTTTTTTGAAAAACCCTTTTATTATGTTACAATGTAAATCATTTGCAAAATAAATTAATTTTTTTTTTAAATTAGTTGAATTATAGTAAGACTAAAGTTTTGAAATTATTCATTTATTAAATTTGATAAAGCTCTATATCTTTTTTCTAATTATTATTAAAAAAAAAATTGAAATTAAAAATTTATTAATTTTATTATTTTTTTTTTTTTTTTTTTTCTGGAATGTTAACATTTTTTAATGAAGTTTTTTTAAATGCTATAATTATGAATTTTAGCAAAAAAAAAAAAAAAAAAATAAATAAATAAATATAAATATGTATATATAAGAATTCTTAATTTTTTTTTTGACTTAAAATTATTGCTAAAATTATATTAATAAATAGATATGCATATATATTAATTATTTTTACTTTTTTTTTTTTTTTAATTATAATGTCAAAAATAGTAAGAGAAAGAAGAAAATACAGAATAAGTAACCCATACGATGAATCAGAAAAGATAGCAATTAAAGAAAACAAAGAGAAAGAATTAAAAAAAAAAGTTAAAGAAAAGTTAGAAAGCAATAACAATGAAAATAACATTGCAGAAAATTTTATTAAAATTTACAATAAATATTTAGAAGAAAATGAAGATATTGAAAAGTATAAAAAAGAAAATAAAGAAATAGAAGAATCAAAAAAAAAAACAGTAAGTAGAAAAAAAATCAAAAAATTAAATTATAAATTAAAAAAAAATAGTCTTATAGAAAAACTAATAAAAAAAAAAGCTTTTATTAAAGCAAATGAAGTTTTATCAAACTCATCAAATAAAAATAATAGAAATTTTTCTATAAATACGAATGAAGAAAAATACATGAAACTTATTGAAAATCAAAATAATGTGCTTAAAGAAAAATCAAAAATTAATACTAAAAAAAATAGTAATACGAAAAAAAAAAAAAATGATATTGCAAATCAATATGATAAAATAATTAATTCTAATAGCTATTTACAAAATCCTCTTGAATATGTTAAAAATATTTTAAAAGATAAAAAAAAAGACTCTATATTATAATGACCAAAACTATATTTAAAAACAGCGATTTTCTTCACAAACATATATGACTAATTATATAAATATATAAAAAGAGAAGATCATTGATTAAATTAATAGTGTATTGATATATATCTTATTTTATTTTTATAAAATAAAAATAGTTTTTTACTTTTTATAAAAATATTATCTATTTTGTTTATGTAAATTTTTACACCTTTTAGTTTATTTAAAATTTTATGATCTTTTAAGTAGACTTATATTAAATTCATTAATTAAGAATTTTGTTTATTTTAAATATTTTTAATTATTTTTTTATATATTAAATATATTATATTTATTTTATTTTATTTTATTTTTTTTTTTCTTAAATTAGATTAATGTATTAACTTATTTGTATCATTTAAAATAATTTATTAATACAAAAAAAAAAAAAAAAGAAAAAAAAAATATAAACATTCTTTGATTAAATTGTATGTAAACACCAAAAAAATAAAAAAAAAAAAAGAAGAAAAATAAAAGATGAAATTTTTGTATTAGAGTTTCTTATAATTTTTTATATAATAAATTATTTTCTATAAAATATATTTTTAATTTTTTTATTTATTATAATTAATTTTATTATATTTTTGTGTTTCTATTAAATAATATAACTTTTTTTGTACAAAAATTATTAGAAGAAATAATAGTGTTATGTATTTAAGAAAAAAAAGATAAATAGTTTGAATTTTATATCTCTCAAGAAATTTAAGGTTTTATATGCTTTTTTGGAGTTTCTTCAATTTTTTTATTTTTAAATTTATTTTGAATATAATTATGCATAATTTTTTGCAATTCTATATTTTCCTTTAAACCTGGTTGTTCATTTAAAATTTTTTCATCAATTTCTAATTCTTGTCTCCATTTTCTTGGTATTTCAACTCTTTTGTAATTTTTAAGTATATCTGGCATTTTATAATTTCCTTTTTCCCTTTTTAACACATCTTCTCTTGCTTTTTCTAGAATTTCTTTTTCTTCAAGAAGTAGTTTTAAATATTCTGGTCTATCTATATATTCTAAATCAAAAAAATTTATAGGTAAATTATTATCAACAGCTATTTGTGCTTTTTTTGCTAATTCATAATCAAATTCAACCATTGCATTTACATTCTCTTGAGTTAATTTTGCTCTTGGCCTTGTTATTAATTTCATTTCTAACAATTGAGAAACAACCATAACACCTTTAAATAAAAAAAAAAAAATGAAAAATTTTTTTTTTAAATTAATAATAAAATTTATAAAATACATGAAAAAATATATATAATATTATTCATAAAAAATCCATTAACTTAATACTCTACTCGTTATATTTGTGAGTAAATGTGTGTTAAATAATGAAAAAAAAATACAATTTAACATATTATTTATATAAATTTTTTTTTTCTCTTTTTTTTTTTAAACCTGGATGAGATATAAATGTTGTTTTATTTTGACGAACACCAAATGATACTAAAACATCGCACACTTTATTAGATAAATATTTAACACTTTTAAATATCATTTTTTTAATTTGTTAAAAATTGATACAAGAAAGGTTTTAACAATATTGTTATTAATTAAAAAAAAAAAAAAAGTATACTTAAATAAATATATATTTACATCAATTTAAAATTTTTATATTCATATTATTATATTTTATTTTTAAAATCTTATATTTTTTTTTTCTTTTTTTTTTTTTGTTATATAAAAACATATGCATTAGTTAAAAAATAATAATAACAAAAATGTTATAAATGTATTAATACTGTTAAATTTATAATATGAAATAAATCTATTGTAGAGTTTTATTTTTTTTTTTTTATTTTTTTTATTTATTTTATCTTTTTAAATTAGGAGAAAAATTACAAACATATTTATATTAATTCAAACATTTTTTTTAAGAAATAGCATTTCTTATGGATAAAAAAAAAAAAAAAAAAATTGAAAAGTATGAATCTTATATATACAATGATAAAAATATAAGAATAATATTTGATAAATATATGATAAAATTAAAAAAAAAAAAATAAAATATCATAAAAAATTATATATCTGAAGTTTTCATGCATTTTCTGTTATATTTCAAACTATGTATGGATAAAATCTCGATACTTTTGACTTTTTAGATTATCAAATATTTAAATAGTTTTATTGAAAATTTTTATAATATTATCTTTTTTTTTTTTATCATATATTAAATTTAATGTTAATTTTTTTTTTTCTTCTTATTCTTTTGAATTACAATATATTAAATTTCCCTTAAAAACAAAAATGATTTAACAATATTAATTTTAAAAATATATCATTTTAGTTATATAAATACTTTATAATTTTCTTTTTTTCATTGTTTTTGTTCTATATGTGCACAAAATGAAGTTGTTTTGGTTTTTTTAAAAAAAAAAAAAAAAAAAAAAAAAGGTAACAAAAAATATTCACGCACCTTATGTGGTACAATTAAAGTAGTAATTTTTTTTTTTTTTTTTTTTTTTTTTTTTTTTTTTTTTTCTAAAAAAAACTTTAAAACCCCCAAAGTTTTTTTTTTTTTCCATTATTTTTTTAAAAAATTTTTGGCCCAAATTTTTAAAAAAAACCCTTTTTTGTTATAAACCCAACAAAAATTTTTTTTTTTTTTTTTTTTTTTTTTTTTTGTCTATAAATAACTTTAAAATCCCTAAAGTTTTTTTTTTTTTCCATTATTTTTCTTAATAATTCTTGAGCCAAATTCTTAGTAATAAGCCTTTTTTGTTATTAACTCTACTAAATATGTTTTATAAAAAATAAGAGAAATTATTATTTAAATTTCATTTTATTATTATTTTTTTCGATTATCTTTACAATGATTTATTTATATGTTTTTCAGAAGATTATGTGAATATTCTTAAAATTTTATTTTTAAATATATTTTAATATCATTTAATAAAAGCATCTTAAATTATAATGTATTAGACATATACAACATTTCTTTTTTCTTTTTTATACTTTATAAATAATTTTAATAATAATACATATCAAAATTATTAATATTATCATTTTACTTTTATAAAATGACTAATATATTAGAAGGTAAAATTTTTCTAAAAGAAATTGAAAAGAAATCATTAGAGTGTAGAGAAAAAGATGAAATTTTAGTTTTAAAATTATGTGAATTATCTAATGCTATATATCCAATTTACAACAAAATATTTGGTGATGGTTTTTTAGGTGAAACTTTAAAAAAAGATTTAAAAAATTCTTCTTTAAAAGTTAAAAAAGCTGTTGAAAAAGTCCCTGAGGAAACAAAATATGTTTCGAAAATGTATTCATATAATTTAAAAAAGTATGAAAATTTAGAGAAATTAAAAAAAGATATGGATAATGGATTAATTAATTTTATGTGGATGAAAAGAGCTTTAGAATTTATTGTAGTTTTTCTTGAAAAATGTTATGTAACGAAATCCTCTTCTAAGTTAAATATATGCGCTCAAGAAGCTTATGAAGAAGTATTAAAAAGTTATCATGGTTATATAACTGTTAATTTAGTTAAATTAGGAATAAAATTGTCTCCATCAAGGGAAAATTTAACAAAAAGACTTGGTTTTGAATCAAATGAAGAAGCAAAAATTGTTATTCAAAATTTTATTTTAATAACAAAACCTTTAATTAATGATATTTCAAAAATTATGGAAAAATATAACTGTAACTTTAAGGATAAAGTTTAAAAAAAATAAAGAACAAATAAAGGAACATTAATAACTAATATATCAGCATTAAGTTATTTATCTATTATTTTTGTTTTATTTATTTATTTATTTATTTATTTATTTATTTATTTATTTATTTTTTTTCATTATTATTTCTTTTCTTCTCATTTAAAATAAATAAATTTTGTAATATTATTTATATATAATAAATTAACTTTATTTTTTGTTTATTAATATTCTAAACAACCTTGTAAATTAAAATTATTTACCTTAAAAAATAAAGGAAAAAATTTACATATATATATATATAATAATAATAATGAAAATAGATCTAAATAGAATTTACTGTCTTTTTGAAAAGAATTAATTTCATATATTTTTTCAATAATGTTTTATTATAATCAAAATAAAACTAAATGAATAAAAAAAATTTTATATAATTTTATCAGCAACAAAAAATTCAAAAAAAAAAAAAAAAAAAAAAAAAAATTGTAAAAGATCAATGAATTATCTTTTTAAATTATTTACAAGAAAAAAAATTTATTTTTAGAAGTTAAAATTAATCTATAAATTTATAAAAGTATAGATGAAAAGTACAAAGTACATTATATGCAATTTTAAAAAAAATTGTAGTAATATGTTATATTATATATTTTAAAAAATGGTGAATACTTGAATATATAAATAAAACGGACAGACATCAATAAATAATAAAAAATTGACTATAAAAAGAAAAAAAAAAAAAAAAAAAAGTTAAAAAAAAATTATTTATAAA